TTCCATTAAAATACGAAATTCCATTACATACGAATACAAAAATGATTTTATCAATAATATCTTCTAAAGAATTTAGTAATGATACTACAAAATTATGAAATGTTCTCAATATCATTCTTTGTTTTTTTTTCTTTGCTGTTCTTTGATTATCTTTACTAACAAATCATGTTTACCGTCCATATATATTTAACTTTCTTTACTTTTTAATGTCTGATATTTCATTTGAAATAAAAAATTTCTCAATGTAGAAAACCAAAAAAACAGAAAAGAAAATTAATCGTAATTGTTTTTTCGGCTAATACAATACGAAGATAAATGTTATTAGATTGAATCGAACAATAATGAATTTCCTTGTGTTATTTTCCCATCATTCCGGAAGGTATGTAATAAAACGACTGAGGCCGCATATATATATATATATATATAATGAATAAGAATCAGGTCATTCTTTCTTTTTCTTTGTCTTCTACAAGAGGTATACACAAATGTAATTCTTGGTAGTAGAAACATCGGCCTTTCTCTCTCGTCCTTTTTTTATGTTGATAGAATGAATTAGGATGGGACAAAAGAGACGTGAAAGAACACGAGAGAAAAAAAAATAGTTCACCGCATTAGCGAGTACATAAAAAAAAAGGAAGCCAAGAAAAGTGTCATTTTTTTTTTTGGTGTGTAAAAGTTGAACTCGAGTGCAGATGTCTGTATAAAAAAAAAAAAAGAAAAGAAGAAGGTAAGGGTGAGAAAAAAAAATAATCATTTTTCGCATAAGCTAAACAAGACAAAAGATATGGTTTATCTATTGAAAAATACTGAAGTGGATATTTGTATTTTGTTATTATTATTATTGTTATTATTTATTGATGTCATTATGAAATTATGTTGGTAGAGTGAAATTGCTTAAGGGAGTAAAAGACCTCGATAATTTTGTCTTTTTTTTTGTTTCCTTGATAGTCTATATCTTCAACTATTCTATTAGAAAACTTGTCTATATTTGTCGAATAATGTTTCTTGTAGAATTGTTTCCTAGAGTTTGTTTGCTTCGATGAGAAATAGAAAAAAAGAAAGAAAGAAAAAAGAAATAATCGTTGAACGAGAATAACTAAGAAATGCCGATGCTTCTTCTTTATTATTCATCGAAAATCCGTCTAATTATTCTTTGTCGTCTCTTGTTGCACTCTTTTCACAGTGCATCATCTTCCTATGGTGCACTACAGCAAAAAAAAAATTGAGAAGGAAATGATGGCAACGGCATGAGAGAGATTTTTCTATTCCCTTACATCGTATTCCTTTCTTTGCAAGCCAGTTTTTTTTTCTTTCTTGTTCATTCATATTTTTTTAGAACGAATATGACAAATAGTTGACGACAGCAATGATGAGGTTGATCTGCATACGACTATTGAAAACAATTCCGACTATGATAGCCGTTTTAATACGATTTCCTGTGTCATTACTAAAAAGATCTAAACACTACTATTCATAACATCACATAAAGTTCCGTAAGTGATGATGGCAACTGCGTTCACATGCTTATTAAGATGACCTTTTAGATGTATGTGCTTCAAATGCTATAGATCATCATTGCATCATAAGTTAGTTCTATGTACATGAGAAAAAGAAAGATGTAAAGAAGAAAAAAAAGAAATGAAACTTAGATTTGGTCAGACAATCATATCATCCTTGATATTTTGTTCGAGATGCGAGACGTCGTTGTCCTTCCATCATAATTCGCTGCCAGTCAGTTAGATAAGAAATTGTTATGAGCCTTTTTTTTTTTGTTTTATGATTTAAAGTATGTCTCGAAAAGAGGCTGTTATCATTAAAATAATCATTCTGTCTGACTCAAACAACAGTATGTATATGTGCACATTTTCTTTTTTTTTCTATTCAAAATATAGAAATATATGTCTCTTTCTTCTACAACTGGTGCAATGAACATTATAAGAGTTTTAATCTTTTTCTGATGTGGACTAATGATTTGTCGATATCAATCTATGTTCCTATCTATCTATCAAATGATAAAAATGATCAGTAAACATCCTAAGGGTCGTAGACTATTCTTCGCCTTTTATTTCCTTTTTCTTCTTATTCTTCGTCTTCTTTTCTAGTTCTAACCTTGGTTATTATCGTGCTAACCCGTTATTAATTTATGTAAATCGCATGTTTATTTGCTTGTTCATGTATATATACGCTTTATAACCATCATCATTAGTAGTAATAATAGTAGAAGTAGTAGTAGTACTGCTATTACTATTAGCAGCATCTGATCATTGTCGTTACATATGAGACGATGAACAAGAACAAGAAGAAAAAAAGAAGCAAATTATGCGAACTAAAAAAAAAAAAAGAAGAAAAAAGTTGTGCTTTTACATTGAATGAATCAATCATATATACAATTTTTTATATCCGCTCATTTCACTTGTATAGTGATGGTCATTCTAATGATCCGCCGCTATGTTCATATGTCGTCGCCGGTCTATGAATATAAATCAAGCTCGTGTGTCCCATACGAATCAATGTCATATGTAAGTTCCTGTTTGAGTTGATGAATGAAATATATAGTAGAGAAAAGAGAAATGTATATTGCATCACAATTGATGGGAATTCAAGACTATATGTATGTGATCCCATTGATCCCTCATACGTGTCAATACATTCATATATAGTTATTTGCATGCACCAGCATCACCACTCTACCATGAAGTATAGATTCCCTATAGATTAGTATTGAAATTTTCTTTTTCTTTTTTTTTTTGAAGTTGATTCAGATGTGTAATTGATCGATCTCATCGTTATATTGAAACAAAAGAAAAGCGCTAGAGAGAAGAAAAAACATAATTGAACTACAGCTGAAAGTTATTTCTACTAGAATATGAGAGAAAGAGAAGTTACTCTTTCTATTTTTTTTCCTTTGCATTATGCCTAACGGTGTTACCAAATACATACGCATATGTCTATCAATCGTATATACTCTTTTCTTTGTAATGTTCAACTATCATCATCCTTCTCTATTATGTAATCGGAAACAAAGTGTTTCATTATTCTTTTTTACTTATAAAATAAATAAATATAGTCATACATTATCATTGATAATTTTTTTTTCTTTGTTTTCTAGACAAGTTTAATAAATTCATTATGTTTTATAAAATTCCGTTTCCATCTCTTCTTTCTTTTCTTATCTTAATGATTGGATGTGTTCTTTTTACAATGTCAACTCTCTATACCGTACATAGAGTTCAAAATAGTGAAAAATGGTCATGTAAAAAATGGTATTTTAAAACAAAAAAATCAATCTTATCTAATTCGTTTTGTTTTCTTCTCTTCAAAGTTTATACTTTAGTCGACTTGTGATTGGATGTGGTGTTGCAATAACATTTGTATTTGGTATATGTTCTGTTCTTTTAGCAAGTATTTTAAGTGGAAAAACTCGTAAAAAATATTTTTGGGGTTATCGAAAAAATTTATGTGCAAGAATTTTAAATGGTCTTGTAAGTATAAAAGAAACAACACCTATGTTTTATTTTATTTTATTTTTTATTCATTTAATTATAGGTTTTATTTGTAACATTTCTTTTAACAATATCATGGCTGAGTGTTGCTTGTTTAACATTTATTCCATTATATGGTCTTTTGTATATCTATTTTGTTGTATGTAGTAATCGTTATGGTACTGCTGGAGGCAGTTTTGTAAACAGTAAGTAATTTATAAATTATTTGACATTTTGTTTTTCTTTTTTTTTTTTTGTATATTTTAGTTTTAAATGAAATTAATCAACATGCACATCGATTAGATGAAAAACCAACGCAATTTAAACTTGCAGATATTTGTCATCCAGTAAGTATTTAAAAAAATATTATTAAATCCTATATTTCATATCTCCAGTCAATACGACTGGAAGATCAATCTGAAAAAGGCATATCTATTGTTGACATTGAACTCGAGCCTGTTAAGTATCATTCATCTTTCACAAATAAACATTTACATGATGCCCCTTATCATATCCCTTATGGTCTCTCTCTCTCTCTCTCTCTCTCTCTTTCCTTTAAACATATTTTGATGACTAGTTGTATGATTGTTATTTTTCTGTGATAGGTTTTTTTTTTATTTTCGCATTCCTTGCACTCTCTCACACACTTTTTCCTTGAACAAAAAAGCTATGTTTTTTTTTAAAGGCTTAGCGCTTAGTTATTATATTCGTTGCTTGTGTCTATTTATATAATTTTAAATTATGCTTATAAAATATATAAAAAAAAAAAACAAGATTTTGAAAGCCAAAAAGAATATAAGAAGATTAAAAATTGTTCTATTTCTTTTTCTTCATTTTTAGTCTTATCGTGATTATTTCAGTTTAAGTATTGTTACAACAGCATCATGTATATTAATTATGATTAGTTTGGTATGAATTATAATTTTATTCATTTATTTATTTTTTTTTCTTATTAATTAAATTTAATCTAGATCTTTTTAATGATCGCTCAAGGTGCAAATCATGCACATATATATAATGATAGAAGTCGATATGAAGTAGCACAAAGTGGAGATCAAGAAATTGAAGAAACGAAAATGTGAAAATAAAATTTAATACGTATATACTATTGAGAACAGTCATCTTTCTACTTTTTGTTTTTTAAACAGAAAAAAAAAACAAATACCAAGTCAGTCAGTCAATGTTGTTGGTTTTTTTTTCTTTTTTTATTCATTGTCGTTTGTGTATTGTTCCAAAAATCAAAACGAAAAAATACAAAAAAAAAAAGTTTTCAACCAAGCCAATTGCATTTATGACAGAAGTTCTTGCTTTTTTTCCTAGAGCGCAGTTCATTGTACAGTTGCATGACATGTTCTTTTTTTTTTTTTTTTTCTTACATATATTAATATGTGTGTGCGTATATCCAATTTGTGGAGGATTGAATCTTTTTTTCTTTTTGAAATATAGATATGTTTGTGTTTTCTTTTTTTTCTCTTGAAAAAAAAAAATAATAATAAAAAAACTACCCTAATAATGATATTAATAATAACGATACGAATCGTTTTTATATGGATAATATCTTGCAAATGAAGCCGATCCTCTTAATAGATTTGTTGCCATAAATTGTGAAGTAGCTCTATGAAGTGGTATTGTACTTCGAAGATGTTCATGTTCACCATAATAATTTTCATTTGTTAATGGTGACTGAACAAGCCATTGACGTGAATATGCATCACGTTCGAGAATAGCAAAATTACAATAATCAACCTTGCCAGCTTCATATTGAAGGCGTTCAGGTCGTGCACGACGACCAAGCATACCACGTGATATTGCTTCAATTGAACCAGCATGTCCAGATAATAAAATAGTACCACCTTGATTTTTATGTGTTTTAACAATGGCATCAATAACACGCTGTGAACGTTGATAATAAAGTCCTTCATCTTCTGTTGCATCAACACTATCATATAATGGTGTATAATATGGATCGATATTAAAATGTCTATCCATTGCTAAATATTCAGGTGGTATAAATGAAACTGGTGCAACGAAATGCCACGATGAACATTCGAAAAGACCTTCAAAAAGAGATTTTCTTTTGCTAAGAAAAAAGAAAAAAAAATATATATATATGTTACAGGCGAAATTAAAATCAAGAACACTTTAAAATTCTTCTAAAGGAAAATTAAAATTATGAGTGTTGATGTCGGACTTTGCTTGACTCGCATACTTTTATACATACCAGACACACAACCTGACTCATAATTAAATTTACATCAACACTCACACATTCACACTCTATAATTTCAATTTCTTCTGTAACAAATATATATAATTATTTTTGTTTTTATCATACCAGGTTCAATATTGATTGGTATATCTTTTCGTCCTTGACTTTCAAGAATTTTATTTGCTGTTTGTATGGATCGATAAGCAGGTGATGCATAACAATAATCAATTGGATAGCCAAGTTGAAGTAATTTTCGACCAGTAGATTTACTTTGATTTTCACCACGAATCGTTAATGGTGGATCATATTTCCATTCACTAGAATCTGGTCGATGTGCTAAATATGATACTAGAGAATGACGACCACCAGCTCTTCGTAAAACACTGTACCAATGTGGTCCTAATGCTAGATCAGCACGTTCACCATGACGAGTTATTATAATTCGAAGATTATCTTCTGCATAGTCTCTACCAAAAAGATTTCTGAAGCCAGACATCTTATTCAGACTTATTTTATGGAAAAAAAAATAAACAAAAGGAAAAAAAGAATATTTATATCACTGATTTATCCTTTTGTCTTGAGCATTAAAATATATATAAGAGCCATCAAGGTTTTGGGTTCGAGACATTTGTTTCTTTATACACTTTTTTCACAATATATGTTATACTACTTAGTAAATGTTCATTGAAGCAAAACATCGAAGGACAACAAAATTAACCAATGACAATCAGTATGTACTATGATGATAGTTATTTAATGAGACTACTTTGTTCATTGATAAATTTTCACGTAATAGCCTGTTCGTTACTAATTTAAACGAAAGTAATTAAAAAATCGACTACTCAAACATAGACACACAAACAAAAAAAGAACAAACATTATGCTTTATATTTAATACAAAAAATATTATAATGCTGGAATAACTATTTTTTTCGCTATTTCACTGTTGTATTTTTATTTATATGCATGAATTCGATGATTTGTTTTGCTAGATTATTAAATTTTGAGCATAACATCGATTCATTTTCTTGTATAATTGGACGACCTTGATCACATGCTTGTCGAAAATTTTTATTAATAGGTAATGATTGAAGAATATTTAAATGAAACTCATTAGCTAATAATTGACCACCATTTTCACCAAAAATTTTTTCTTCATGACCACATTTTTGACAAAAATATGTTGAAAAATTTTCTACAATACCGATAATAGGTACATGAACAAGACGAAACATTTCAATTGCTTTTCGTACATCAACTAATGATAGTTCTTGTGGTGTTGTTACCATAATAGCACCAGATAATGGAATTAATTGTGCTATAGATAATTGTATATCACCTGTACCTGGTGGTAAATCAATAATTAAATAATCTAATGGAGACCAAGCAACTTGTCGAAGAAGTTTTTCAATCGCTTGCATTACCATAAGACCACGCCATACGATAGCTCCATCAGATTTAGTTAAAAATGCTATTGACATACATTTTAAATTGAAATTAATTAATGGTTCAATAAGATTTGTTTTTGTACTTGTTGTTGCTTTATGATTACGTAGATTAAGTAATGTTGGAATTGATGGACCAAATATATCAGCATCCAATATTCCAACTTGATAAGATAAACGAGATAATGCAAGAGCTAAATTAACACTTATAGAAGATTTACCAACACCACCTTGAAAAGAAAAACAATTTTAAATATATATTCAAGACATCAGCCTGAGAGATGTGCAATATGAGTGTAAATATGGCTCTTCTTAGTTTAGTCGAAGGTGAAAATACCAAAATGAGATTTGTTGAAAACTGAGGTGACAACTTCTGAATGAAATTCAATGTTTACTATTACAAAAAAGAAAGACTGAAAGACAAGCAAAAACAGCTTTCATATTTTCGTTTATCTACGTTAAATATTATTGCTATTGAATAATCGTAACTTTTTTACTATAATGAAAGACTAACGATTAAGAAAACCAGATGCTATAATGAGAAAATCATTATATCGATTATACGATGTGTTTATTCAATTTTGTAGTGCTGTTGGCCGTTTGCTTTTTAGTTTGCATGCAACATATGGTTACAGCTGTGAGTATTGCCCTACTCTTCACGCATACGTAAATCCATATTTACACTATATCATTCGACATTTGTATTTTCAATCAAGGTTCAGGTCACGGTAAATACTGAACAGTGATTCATCAACATAAGGTTCATTGACGACACTAATATCTACATTCGTTACAACATCAAGACATCAACTCTTCTAATATGTCTTTTTTTAGAGCACTATATGTCAATGCTTCAATGAACATTGACACCAATCTGTCACTATGCATCCATATGTTAGTCATAACTAAAATTTTTATTTTAGACTTTTATTTTTACATTTGTTTCATTGTCAATTTTGATATGAATAGACAGTCTGCTATTATATTCTATTTTTTCCAATTGTAAAATCTTCTAAAAATTTCAAGTACTATTGCCAATTTTTACTTCTCTAATAACAACTGACCATTTTTTGTGATGTCAGACAAAAAAACTACTATAAAATTTTATTTATAATTGATTGATTATTTTAAAGTTGAATTTTTATTTTCTCATTTATTCAAAAGAACTTTCAGAATTTCTTAAATCATAATTATTATTTTTTTTCTCCCGCACCATTCATAATCAAAATTATAGTTAACTAAACTTGTTTTCCGATCAATAATTCTATTCGGAATTATTTAAATAAATAAATAAATGAAAACTAATGCAAGGTTTTTATAATTAATAGATAGAAATTCTAATATGTATGAAAATTACCTCATCGAATGAATGAAATAAATTGCATATACCTTTGCCTGAACCAACAGCAATAATATGTTGAACACCTTCAATTGGTGTTCGTTTTGGTAAACCACGTGCCATCATAGCTTGTTGATGTGGTGTAGACTTTGTTGAATGACAACGTTGAAAAATAATTCGAAAAAAATTTAATCGAATAAACATTTTAAAAATCTAAAATCAAACCAAAAACAAAAGTCATTATAAATCTAATATTAATTTATTTATTATGTTCTTTTATCTAATAAACGTTTAAATAAATCATTAACTAAATCATCATGTATACGACCAGGATATTTCTTACAAATATTTGTATGTAATTGTTCAAGTGCTTTCTTTGGATTAGTTTTATATCGATCAATTTGTTTAGGATTTTCTTCAAGAATTTTTAAACAAATTTTTTCTAATTCATTTATATCATTAATTGCATACATTTTATGTTCATCAAGAAATGATTTTAATGATCGTGATGAATCACGACTTTTATTACATAATGTTAATAATGTATAAAGTGAAAAACGTGTTATTATACGTTTTTCTAAATGTTTAATTATATCAGCAAATAATGTTGGTGATACAGCTTGAGCAAATTTACGAATTTTACGTCCATCATATGATATTGATTTAACATCAGTTAATAAAACTTCTAATGCAATATGACGAAGATGATTATTTTCAAGTTGATTCATAACATCACGAAAATAATCCTATTTAGAAAATAAAAAGAAAATATATTTATCTATATACATTTTTTCAAAAGATCATTTCGAAAATATCTAATAATTTGATGAAAAATGTCGAAAAGAAAAATATTGAAAAGTTTGAATGAAAACTAAAGTGATAGTGATCATTGAGAGAAGATTCTTATCTTCGAATTCACAATAAATAACTATAGTTAATTAATACAATGATTTTGTTTTCAGTATTTTCTGTCGATCAGATAATCTAAAAGTTTGATTATTCTTTTATTATCAAGTATTTATCCATTATTATAAATTTAATTCATTTTTTTACAATTAATGATTATGAATTTTCTCTTTCCAAGTTATTTATCAAAAGAAAATTATATCATAGATGTTATATTTTGACAAAGATTTTACATTAAATCATAGACACTAAAATATTCAATATACATGTAGCAAAAATTGTTTGATGTTAATGATAGTCTGTATAGAAATGATGAAAACATATTATGTTTCGACACCATGAACAAGAAATAAAATCAGAGATTTGAATATCTTTTTTTTTTCATTTCACAGAAATGATCCGAAAAAGAAACAAACTTCAACAACATTATGAAAATAGTCAAGACCGAGTATCCTTATATTCACTCGTCAATTAACTGTATCAAATGATTATATGAAGAAAAAAAAACAGAAATTTGACCATCACAGAATATATGAGTAACAATAGTTTAATTATACTATTCCGTTGAAACATTTCAATATTCTATTAATCAAGTGCAACCTTAAAGCTTCTTTAATTTCCTTCATCTGACTGACATATACTCATAATTATAAGATGTAGTCAACAGTTTGGAAACCATTGAGATGCTTCCGTTGTTCAATATTTTCAAGTTTTAAGCCTTTTTGCCTGATGAAAATGAACAGGTCACTGATTTTAACGTACCGATCTATGAACTTTCAATAGGCTTTCGCCAGAAAACCTGAAAGTAGGCGTCTGGTGATCTAATTTTTCTAGTTCTGTACAGAGTCAGTCACCAAATTTCTTTTTCCAATTTCCTACAATTTTTTCAGTCAGAGAAAGGTTCCTATGTCTTGATCTGGCATATTATAAAAGAACTTGTAAATTTGAATTTTAAAATAATCAAATCAATAAATATTCTGATTTAGTTTTAAATATTTGAAAATTTCAATAAAAATTTTTTGTTTAGAAAATTATTTTTATTCTTTTTGTTTTTCTTAGAAATCATCGATAAAAGATATTAAGACGGCAAAAGAAAAGAAGGACACCTTAAACGTTTCTGTATGTCCAAATACTTACTATGAATATTTCCATTTTTTTTCTTACACGATTTCCACAAAATTTTCAAGATTAGCATTGGTTTAAAGAGATTTCTTTTTTTTGAAATAGGAAATGAACTCATTAAATCAGTTGAATATGAATATCGTGATGAAATAATTGAAGATTATGCTAAATGAGTAAATAGCTATTTTCTGAAACAATTATATGAGATTTTCCAGTGCCATGTGTATTAAACTTCATGTTTTGTCTTGAGTGATTAATTATTTCTATTTTTGATAAAAATATGTAATGAACTGTTATTTGATCAAAAAAAAAACATGAAGTAATATAATCTACCAAATGAGCTTATTCTGACTAGGCAAGGCGAGAATCAATGAAACTAAACAAATCTAACTATGAGAAGGTAAGAATTAAAAAGTTCGATATTTATCTGGAAGAACTTTATAAATGATCTTTTATCAGTTCAATATAATAACTTACAATCATATCAAGTCGAAGTAATTCATGTAAATGTTCAGCTGTTAAAAAATCTTTATATTTATCTAAATATTGTTTTCTTTCATCTAATGGTGATATTGGTAAATTTCTTTTAATATCATCAATATTAACAAAATTTTTTTCATATATTTCTTTATCATTATCATCATATAAATATAATGGTGGTAAATTTGGTTCAATCATAAATCGATAATCAATTTGATCTTCTTTACGTCTTAAATGTATTGTTTGATGTTTATTTGTATCATATGTACGTGTTTCATTTTTAATTGAATAATTATTTATTAATAATTGTTCTTGTCGTTTAATTTCAAAATCAATTGCTTGTCGTACATCAATAAAACTACCAAGATTTTTTATTTCAATACGATTACCATCTGGTTTTGTATCAATACGATGTAAACTAACATTAGCATCAACACGTACAGCTGTTTCAAGACCACTTTGTTCACATATATTATATTTAAGTAAAAGACGATTTAATTCACGTAAAAATGATTCACCTTCAAGACTTGATTGTATATCAGGTTTAGTAACTATTTCAATAAGACCAGTACCAAAACGATTTAAATCGATTAATGTACGATTTTGACTATCATCATGAATACTACGACCAGTATCATGTTCTAATTGAATACGTTCTATACGACATTGTTTTATAACAAATGAATTTTGATTATCAACAAACTAAAATATATATATATATAAAAAAAAAATATTTTTTATTTTTTTTTTTTTAATTTTTTTTTTTTTTTTTTCTTAAGTACTTTATGTTTTGTTGAAGATTTAAGTTTATCTTTTTTAACTAATAATGGATAATGAAAAACACCATTCGATGCAAATGGATATCTTTGTTGAGTTATTTGATAACCTGCTGGTGAATCAGGATAAAAATAATGTTTACGTTCAAAATGTGAAATTTTATTTAATTGACAATTAAGACCAACAGCTGCTCGTATACCAGATTCAAGACAAGCACGATTAAAATATGGCATTGAACCTGGTAAAGCCATATCAAATGGTGCTACTTGACTATTTGTTGTTTGAGCTGGAGCTGATGATGAAGGTGAAAACATTTTTGATTGTGTTGCAAGTTTAACATGAATTTCAAAACCAATTAGTGCATAGAAACGACCACTTGATAGAACAGTAGCAGCAGCTGTAGCTGCCATGTTTCAATATATACTACAATGAATTGAACAAAAAAAACAAAAACCAAGAAAATGAACAACAAGAGTTTTATAGAAACTAGATAGTCGAATATCAGCTGTATGAGAAATATTGATTGGTTGTTTTTGAGATTGATTGTAGAAACAAATTTGAATTATTCTGAAAGATGGCAGACTTATCTTTTAGATTTATTTACAAAAATTTCAATGATCATTTTAGAAAATATTCTAAAAGATACAGTTTTTTCATAGAAAAAAAAATTTTCAAGAACAACGTTATTATTTTAAACTTATCTAAATATTATAAGCATTTAAAGTAATAGTTCTTCTTTATTACATGGATTACATAATCCTGACAATTTTTGCTGCGTAAAATCATTTTCTTTTTTAAGAAGTTATTACGCTGGTATTCTAAATAGACACTGTAATCCGTATTTTGTGTTGTAAGAGGGAAAAGCAACACTTTAGTACTTTGAAGCACAAGTGAAATGTCGTACTTGTATTTTCTGTCATTGATGTATTGTCAAGTATAAATCTGTAATGTGAAAGAGAATTTGAGTCGGAATGATAATTTCGGCTTTTTTGAAATTAGAAAATTGTTATAATTCCTTTGAGTAATTGGTTTGAAATACTTGAAAATAGGAGTGAAAATTTCAACAGATAAGTTGAAACTCCTAGATGTACTTATGCCTTATTTATTTTAAAATTGCAGAAAATTTTATTTTGATTAAATCTTCTTTTTGCAACAAAAATATGTGTCATACGGATAATATCTATGAATATATATACATGGATACATTAATTCTATATAGAACAATTAATGAAAATTATCATTTTAGATATTTGAGTTAAAAGCTAAAAATATAAATAATTTTTTGAGTAAACCTATATTCTTTGCTTTGCGGGCAAATATTATCCTTAATATTATAAGAACAAAAAGAGGCTTGAAATTGATCTTGTGATATCGAGTACTTAACTGGAATCCAAATAATGATTTGGACAGTCGATGAAATTCATTATCAGATGCACTACATATCGAGATTTCATAGACGCATTATGTGGTAAAAGTTTCTAAAAAAAATCTGAGCAAAATCAGAGGTCACCACGTGTTTCTCGACATCTTCTTACCCAGTTACAAGTATCACAAAAACACCAAAAAAAGAAAATACATTTTTTAGAGTTGTTTTGATAATTTTTGCTATTTTTTCATTATTTATGATGCTGATAACTTGGTAAGGAAAGGTCGGAAAAAAAACTTGACGATCCATCACTTCATTCAGAATTTGGTGTTCTTTCACATAGTACTGTTAATTAATAACGAACTTTCATAGCATGTTCAGTTTCTTAGAAAACTTTCCTACATAGCCTAACTTTTGAAACCCTGATAAATGGTGTATCTCATAGAAAGTTCTATTGACTGTCCGAATCACTAATTGAATTTTAGTTAGGTACTCGACATCTAGAGATTTGTACAGAGCCAATGTAGTAGTCAACTAAATGTTTTTCAGAACATCCAGTTTTAATATAAAACTTTTTATAAATCGTAGGTTTTGTTCTCTGCTATTCATTGTATGAATCAATGTTCTTTCTATATTTCAAGGACATATTATCAAAGCCTATGAATATGAAAGAAAGTTCAAGTTAAATTTGACTCGGCCTCTATTTTCATGGCAGGATGCCTCTAGAAGAGTTTGTTGAGTTCTTCAAAATCCATCAGTTTGTACAATGAATACGAGAGAATAAAAATTACAATCCAGAAACAGTTTCATGTCAAAATGAATATTGAGCAAAAATAATTTAGCTAACTCTGAAATTGACTTCATGCAGCTTCTTATCGACATCACATAATAAAATCAAAATTATTTTATTCTTATAACTTTGAGCAGTACTGTAAACTGTACAAATCCAATGAAAAATAAAATATTTGTTATTCTTTAAAAACTTTGATCTTTGTCTTATTAATTAACTTCTTGATTTATTCCCCATATCATATTTGAACATCTTTTTTTTTTCTTTCACATTAACTTCACAATATATTTTTTTTTATGGAGCATAAAATAGAATTGGAAACAACAAAAAGATAAGCGTGACTAGATAAGAAATACTTCATAAGTCAAAAAAAAATGTTGTAAAGAATTCCATAGAAGTTAAAACCCATAACATTTTTTTTTGTTCGTATTCTTTCGTTTTAAATTTCACCCTTTCCATTGAGCAGAGGTATTTTGGAATTTGCAAGGTCACGACGTGTACGTCGCCACTATAAAAAAAGCAATTATTCACATAGACATAAAAAATATTAATAAAACAAAATCAAATCATACTTGAAAATATATGAACAATGTAGAAATTGATAAAAATAAAAGACTAATCGATGGTAAAATAAATTTAATATAAGAACCAGCTTTTAATGATACTAATATTATTGATAATAAAGAATGAATTTCTGGTATCAGACGTGCTTCATCATCAAACCACACAATTGGTATTATGATTGGTTTAACTGATTCTAATAAACTAAATGAACAAATCTTTCTTTAAAATGACCTTAAAAAAAGAAAGAATTACGAACTGAATTCTTTTGATATTCGGCATATAAAAACTTAATTGTAATCGGACATTAACTGCAAATGGAACACTAGTTACCTATTAAAATTAAAAAAATTATGTCTCAGACAATTAATATTTTTTTAATGCAAATACCGGATCAAAACTCATTATAAATTCATGTTTATTTTTATCTGGTTTCATTCCATGAACATCTTCACGAAATTTAATATCGGATTGAAAAAAATGCGGTGACGAAATAAACCCCCACACTCCTACGATGCATATAGAAAAAAGAAAATTAATTTTTCAGAATAACAAATTAGATAAATACCTAAATAGCAAGTACTGATATTAAGCACACCATCACCTAAACATGAACCATTTCCACAAAAACCATGATTTTCTTCCCGCGACATATTAAATACATTTGATGATAAATGAAAATCATATAATGTTACATAGCCGTCTTTTCTTTCGCGTAGGAATGATAAATAATATGATCTAGTAAATATTTTATTGAAAATATTCATAAATAAGACTCTTTCACTAATTTCTTACCGACACATATCAGCACTATATGAATAAACATTTTTATCTTTATGTAAATTTGGTGGGAATAAAGATCCATCTAAATTTTTGCGTACAGAAAAATCAATTTTAAAATTACAAAAAAAACAACAAATGTTTACCTGTTCCATTGAGCATATTTGCTTGAGGTGTAGACCAATAATTCAATTTTCTAGACAGAAAAAAAAAACAATAATTAAATCATTTGAATGTTTTAATCTCAATAGAAAAATTATTCTTACTGAACACCATTAAATGAAATAACTTTGGCTACTTGAGTTATATCATTAATTCCAGTGTTAATAGTAAAATTTTGATAATATGAATTATTTCTCTAAATAAAATATGAATAAATTTTACTTTAAAAAAGAAAAAGAAGAAGCGAAAAGAATTATTTATATTACAGCTTGTAATATTCCAAATTTATTGTCTTTCAATACACCAGGTTTTACTTTACTAGCTGTTTCAATTAATGGATCTGTATAACCTAATGAATGAAAACAAAAAAATTTATTAATAAATTTTAAATAATCTTTTAAGTTTATATTTACCTTCCATTAATTCTTTAACAGTAACATTGACAAATAATTTTGTTTCTAATAATTCAATAAAAAAATTAATAGTTTCTTGCATGCCTGGAGTATAAAATTGAACTTCATGTGCCATGGCCTATTGACAAAAAAAAAAAGTTCATTATATAAAAATTGTCAAAAATAGATTTTACCAATAATGGTACATTAATAACAGTGACATATTCATCATCTGGACCGATCGATTGATTTCGATCAAAATAAAGTGTTGTTAATGGAATGTATGAAATTGTACTTAAATCATCACTATATGCAATATTTGATCGATTCCATTCTTCTCTAAATGAAAATTTTCATTTGATTTTTGAACTATATTCATATATACTATACCGATAAACATAAGGTCCACGTTCCACCAATTGTGGTATTCCACCATTTTGTACTTCAACAGGATTGGTACAATGCCATATGTACATTTTTCGATGTATATTAGCAGGTGGATTTTTCCAAAATCGATGACCTTCTCGACCTTGGATAATAGCCATTTTCTACAAAATGAATTTTTTTAAAATCAATCGAATACAAAAAAAAAAAAGTTGCAACGAACATTTGCTAATATTTTGTTCACAAGCGGATCAAATATAATCAACATAATAATTCCCATGATTAAACCAATAAAACTAAGTACAAAACATATTGAACATTTGCAATTTGTTCGACAAGGATTAAATGATGACATTTCTAATGATGAGTCCGGTATGTCGTTTTGTACTGAAATAAGCGTGAAAATAAAAAGTTCTTATCTTACAAAAGCTTTTCTCTCGACATGACAAACTTTTTTTTTCTCCGTTCTTTTTAACTACGTACCTTGCTCATCAACATCATATGTGTTGAGATTCGTTATCATAAATTTCGAAGAATAATATACAAAAAAACGAGATATGTTAATGGTTTGATGTATTGACGGAAGAATATGTTTTGAAAAAGTACATATCTGATTAGTAATCAATGACGAAATACATTCACTAAAATATCCTCATATGACCTCGCATGAAGTAAACATTATATAACTATCAGTAAAAACAAGAGGAATGATATACATGTCAGAATAGCACATAGAGTTAATTATAGAAAGAAAAACAGTAGAGTACGAAAGGAAAGAAAGCCTTTTCTTCATAAACATAACGAAATAAACGAAAATCAACTCACTTCTCTGATCATCACATTCATTTAATTGTAATCTTGTAATTTCAACATCATCTTCGAAATTATTGCTTGAAAAATAATCATTTTCTATAGGTGTATTCTTATTGTTAATATATTCATTACCATAAACAACAGTCATATTGATAATATCTAAAAAAAAATGTTCGATTTTAACAAACTATCGAATTATATAAATTATTGATATGTTTTTTTTTCATATAACGGATGCAATAATTATGCCTCTAGCGAACATGACGAAATATGAGTCATTTGTGCGATTCTTTTTCGCTCTTTATTTATCGGTTTGTTCTATACTAAACACTTCAAAGGAACTAAAAAACAGGTCCTTTGTGTTCTTATGTTTTGTGAAGGATTGTTTCTGTTACTACAGTGGTGCAATCAGGAATTTTTTCCGGGGGGCACCATTATAGAGAAAAAGTGATTTTTTGCTTGTGAAAACGAATAAGTCTGTACCTCCCTTCAGTGATTTAAATCTTACAGGAGGGGGGGATTGATCCCCCCATCCCCCTTCTGATTTCGTCACTGTGTTACTATCAAAATGCAAGTACAAAACGAATAATTTACCTTTTTGCAATGCTCTGATATTTCAAATATTGAGTTACGAAATGTAAATAATGATGTTAAATATTTTTTTGTTGTTTAGATCTAAAAAAAATTATGGATCTATTTTCTTTTTATCTCAAAAAAAATATATTAAAATAAATGAGCAACAACTGAACAGCATCTCATATTTATATATGCTGATTGCAAGACAGATTAGAAGAAGTGATGTATCAGAAAAATACATACTTTAATCATGATAGCGGAAGAAATTAACACGAATGTTGAAATCAGAACTTGAGACTGATAACTCGTGTAATTCAACCGAAAATACAATAGATTCATTGATGTAAAAAAGGAACGCAAAAGACTATTTGTATTCTCATTCATACATTTCTTATCTATGAGAAAACATGTCTATTTCCTTATTCTAATGATTTATTACCAACAACAGCAATTAATGAATACTTAGTGAGCATAAAATATTGAAATATCTTTTTATTCTCTAGACTACAAAAAAATGATTTATCATCTAAAATAAATTCATTAATGTAGTTTAATTCCTAAGATATAAAAGATCTTTAGAATCATCCATCAAGAGATTATGTCTATATATATATATATATAAATTGAAAATCTATTCCTCTTATCGAAATGGCCTTGAAAAAGAAAATTATCAAAGAAATTTTTTTTTCAAATATTAATTTAAATTTTAGAATCTAAACTATGAACAAAATTGATGCAATGCTTCAAAGAATAAGAACAACCAAAGTTTATCATTTTTCAGTACATGATCACTTTTGTTTGCATGCTGTAAATTGAGACAGACAAAAAAAAGCACTCAAGTACTAGTTAGTGCAAGAAAATAATGTAACAGTTTTCTGAATGGCAACAAGTGATGTCGCTTCTCGGACTCACTTAAAGTTTTGAATAGAGTTGATGATTCGCTCAACTTAATCTCAATAGATTGGAAAATTTGTTTAAATTGTCATGTCTAAAATCAATGATATCAGAAAACAAATTAATAATTACGATCTTTAAAAATATGTTAAAAAACATAAGTTTGTTTTATTTTGAATTTTGAGGGATGAATAATTTTTTTTTTTTTATTAATTTTGCAATGGTATTTAATCATTGAAAACTGTAAAAAGAATTATTTATTTCGTAAGAAAAAAATTTTGATCGTTTTTAGCTGTTTATTTTGTCAATAGAATGATTTAATGATTATCTTTAATTTTATTTTAATGAAATAACTAAAAAGAGAAATGGTTCAATAAATCCAAAAACAAACATTATATTAACAGAAATAGAATTTCTATTCATAGTACAAGAATTTTTTTTCAAACAATTAACATAGTAATATTCAGCATACGCTCTCAAACGAAGCAGACTAAGCATAGTCCTTTAGTCAAGTTGTCTAACTTGAAAAAAACAAAAAACTTATAATATAGTTACCATTCAATGGATTTATATATCTAAAGTAATGATTGTAAAGTTTTTATTCATAGAAACATGCGCTTTTATATACTATTAAGTTGAAGCTTACATTTTTTTACAAATGTATTAAAATTTTTTTTCTATACTAAATACGAAACATCTGCATAAGAAAAGCTTTTCATCCAACGATTAATCATCGATACAAACAAAAAAGCTATGTATCCTTTATATTAGTATTTTATCCAGCATGAGATTTCAAGGACAATATTCCGCGAAAGTTTGGCTTGGCCCTCCCGGAGTTAGTGGTTATTGTAACACATATCATATTCTTACATTCCATAAAAACTTAGGCAGTTGCTCCCTACAGTTTTAAATTTCTGTTCTAAAAAAAAATATCTGAATACAATAGTGTACCACAATCATCGTATAGTACATATAGATTTATGTCAATATGTTTCTTCAAAGAATATGATTACAATTTGCTCTTTAATTGCTACTTTACTAAAATACGATAACCACATGAAAAATAATAATTTTTATCGTTGTAAAATTTTGTATTAAAAAAAAAAAAAAAAGATACTCTTATATGATTGTTTTCGCTTGAAATAGATATACAATCTAATGAATCTCTTGTTGTCGAGATTAAATTCTTTACTCACTAATATCTCATTATGTTTGCAGGATTAAAATAAGATATTCACTATAAATTATCGAGTACAATCTTTTTAAGCTTTGCTCTCTCTCTCTCTCTCTCTCTTTATCAAACAATTAGGTCATTTCTATTGAACAATGTTCCGTAAAATAAATGACAAGATAATTGAGTAAATGTAAAATAGAATTCACACGTTTTATTTTTGTTTTCTATAGTTAAACGTTCAGTAAATCTGATTGATCAACATATAGAAATAAAAGAAAGTAAGACGACAAATGGACGAATAAGGCTGTAAAAGAAAAATGAGATACAGACAGTTATAATATGGAAATATATCGTACACTCACACGTAAGAAATCATATAAGTATCTCGAAAAAAGGAAAAAAGATTAATCCAGGAGGCAAAAAAAAAGAAAGGACAAAATCAATAACGTCGATATAGATGGATTGTATATCAGTGACATTTGAAAATCATATTTTTATTTATTCTATCTATCGACGGTAAGATGATGATGTTGGTTCTGTATTCAAACTATTGATAATTCGTGATGATGATGGTTGAAAAACACGAAACTTATTTCTTTGTGGTGTTGATTGCATGAATGAATCTAAAGCAAAACAACAAAAAAAAAATTGTTTTTATGTCATAAAATTTTTTTACTTGTTGGTAATTGATTATATGATTGACTAAATTGTTCATCAGAAAGCATTGGTGTTTGATCTTCTAATATGACATACGTATTAACTGGAGTATAGTCATCTTCATTTTTAAAACCACGATTATCATTTATCATTGATGATGATGATGGAAAGAATGAATAAATCATTGGTTTTTCTTTAGTTATATGCATTTGATTATATCTTATGATTATAGAAAAAAATATGTAAAAAGTTAAATGTTTTATTTATAAAAAAAATTTTTTTTTTTGTTTTCCTACCTTAAATCATTTGTTTTTATATGTGGATAATAATTTCGATAACGATAACGTTGTTGTTTATCAACCATTTGATCAAAAAAATTAGCTAATGGACGTTTATATATTGTTTCTGTTTGTTGTGTATTATAATTCATTTGATATGGTTGTGATTGATTATCAATTGAATTTATTGGTGATGTTTTTTCATGATCACATGTTTTACTTTCTTGATTCCAATATAAATCATTTGCACATGGTCGAATATGAATTAAAGAACTATCACATTGTATATAAGCATGAGTACTAAATGCAAATGGATAATATTGTTCTTCATTATTTGATACACCTATACATGGATTTGGTACAGTATCTAAATATAAACGAAAGAAATTTATTTATGAATTTTGATGATAAATTTAATTAAAAATAAAAATTATACTTTGTTCACAAGTTAAACCATATGATTGTTGTTGATTACAAATACAAATATAATCTTGTTTATAATCATTTGTTATTAATGAATGACATTGATTACCATCACCACATGGATTTAATGCACATGATGATAATGGTGTTTCACAACGTTCACCTGTCCAAGCTCCTTGACATATACATTTATATGTTGTTAAACTTGTTGAATAACATTGACCATCATTTAAACATGGTTGTTCTTGTTCACATATTGATTGTATATTTTTATTTTTTTCACATTGATCAATTAATGCATTGTAAATAAAATCTGTTGGACAATCCATTATTTCATATTTATTTTCATTTAAACATAATATATATTTTGTTGAATCTGTTGGATGTGGAATATTACTTTTTATAGTTTTACCAATACAAAGTGATTCTAAAAATAAATATAATTTAAATAGAAAAGAAAGAAAAAAAAAGCAAAACTTTGTAATAATAATACTAATATACCTTGATTGAATGGTTGATTAATTGAAGTTAAAGATGATTGTTGTTCGTTTGTTTCAGATAATGATTTATCTTGATCATCATTTAAATGATATTCACGTTTTTTACGTTTTAAAAGATCATCATCATGATCTTTTGCAGCATTATTTCTATGAAAAAGCAAATGAAGAAGAATTAATTTTTTCTTTTTTTTTTTAATATGGAAATTTTTTGTTTACGAACTTGCGATTTTTCGATGATTTTGAATTATCGGAATCATCACCATTAGAACTAGAAGTAAATAAAATAGAATCAAGACAATTTGAAATATTAAATAAGTTACGCAGATGGTTTTTCATCATCTTCATCATCGGTGTCATATTCATCATCATCATCATAATCCTGTTTGTTACCACCTTTACCTCCCCTAATATGAACAGATGAATTTTTTTTGTAAAAAAAAATATTTTGTTAATGAAATAGAATTATTTACTGTTTTCTATAATTATCATAACCATAAGGGAATCGGAATTGTTGAGGAAAACCACCATAGAAATTAGAAGCAGATGGAAATCCACCAGCAAAACTACAAAGAAATACAATTCATTGTGTTTTTGATAGCATTCTTTTATATAGTTTTTTGATATTATTTAAATAATATAAATTATT